CTCAACCCTTCCCAATCCAATGGGTCTCGATTCTATGATAAAAATTACCATCTAGCCACTCTTCGTGCTCAAGCTGCTACACGTATGAATTTTACTCAAGAGCTAGCGTCTAGACGTCCTTCTGGCAGGTTAGGACCACTAGCGCCAATTTCGAATCGCCAAGCTTATATGCGTGACGCTGTGCAACCATCAGAATTATGGTACCGTCTGAGGCATGATGAAAATCTTGCAATGCAACGACAATTGGATGAACTTAGAAATCAATCCACTATGCGAAGAGGACGCGCTCCATATCCGTATACCCCGCGATCATTTGATTTTCAGTCGACTAGCCCGAATTCACGCAAGCGGCGCATTGAGGCTGTTGATGGCTACTCGCAAAATGAGAATAGGACTGAACGTGATGTTGACGTCCACAGCCCACAAGCAGGACATGTTAATGTAGTCATACCCTCCTCTATTTCTGCATCTTGGTTTCTTACTAATCACATTTCTGCCTTTCCTCCAGGCCATGCCCGAGTCACCCATTGACACATCGATGGTGGATGCCCCTCCATATGAGAGCTCCCCACTCCAAACGTCTCCAAGTAGTGTAAGCAGAAAAAATCTCAGGACTATCGTTCATGTTTCAACGATCTGTTCTAACCTGGTGGTTGTTATATTTTGTTAGGGTCGTCCCGAAAATGGTGTCTCACAAATTCAACCTACTGATCAACACATGCCTGGTACTTGGCCAACTGACATATTTAACCTGAGTGAAGCGGATGTTGGCATTATTCGAGACCACGTTGCTCGTATGTCGGGTGCATTGGCTGAATATCCACGAACATCGAATCAAGGGACGGCTCTCCCACCTTCCAACAGCAACGACATACATCCTAATTCTCCGGAACATGCCCACCAACTCCAACGAGAGGTAAGTGGCAAGTGACCAAACTGTGTACTGCTGCATACTAATTCATTTCTCCAGCTTTCATACTTGCAAAAAGTAGTGCAAATAATTTCTAATGCCTACTTCCCGATCTAAATAGCAATGCGGTTCGCTATACAAAAAGTGGGCAACAAAGCCGTACGGACATATCGAGAATTCGTTCAAGCGGCAGTTGAGGTCACGGGAAGTGCAAAAAGACGGGCGGTGGCTATTCGTGACAAGCTGACCCCTGAATTCATTCGACACAAAATGAATCGCCAACAACAGGCGGCGAAAACCCTTCGCCGCCTAAACCCTAGCGAGCGCCATATCCTGAAAGCTCGGAGGCTGGGTATGGGCAAGAAAAAACAAGGCTCTTCATCTATACAAGTTACACTCGATGAATATGAAGATATCACACCTCCTCGCCCACCTCGCGATATGCCACCCTCGGTGATGATTGATTCCTATCCAGTTCCTAAAGAAAAGGTTCCTACCAAAACATTATGCGCTGCCCAAAAAGATTGTGTTGTGAAAGGCGCAAGGATACAGAAGGGAAAGCTTCATGACAAAGCCAAATCGAAAGCTAAGACCCCCTCTCAGAAGCTCGCTCAACTTACTCAAAAGGATGTTAACAAAGTCACCATGCCACGCGCTCCGAGGCGCGGAGAATTAATTAAGGGAGCTTGGCCAAATGCCATACCGCCAAATGAAGCTGTTCTACGGGCGTATCATGAATCTTTTCGGGAATTGAGGAATAAACCTATGGAAGCGGTATCAGAGACAGCAAAACCTTCAGGACCCCCGAAAGGATATCGCGGAGTATATTTTCCAGGGGAAGAAAATCAGCCCCCTCTTCCTCCACTTCTTTCAACTTCTGTTCCTCCATCCAGCCCACCCTCTCCCCCTTTGCAGACAGAAGGACCCAATCTAGCTGGAGAACCCACTTCTCAACCCGAAGCATCTGTTGAGACTGAAGAGCCTGAGCCACCTAAAGAAGCACTCCCTCCTTCCTCTCCCGAATACGAAGGGTTTCTGGCCAGCCCGCCACGACCGCGACGCGAAGCCAAAGTAGTCCACTGGCTCCAGTCTGAATCTCCAATGGGACGGCCAATTTCTTCAATGCGGGCCTACGATCCTCTATCTCGTGTCACCTCATTTCAACCACACGAACCTGCCAAAGCAGAGGCATCAGGTCGCCAAGCTACGGAGTCAATCAACGAGGAAACATCGACAGATAGGTCGGTCCAGCGCAGCCAAGCCCTTCTACGATCTCCGGAAGCCCGTTTCATCAAGCACCTGACAGCCTCCTGGGAAGCTAAAGTCGACCGCGCGATGGCACTTTCCGACAAGAGTGAGGTTGGTATCACACCTCGTGGCCAGCCCCTCCTTCGGAGGTCCCTGAACAAATGTTACACGAATCTCGAGTGGCTCAATGACGAGGTAATCAATGCATACCTGGAGCTGATCGTTGACTATGCACGTCAGGAAGCAGGGAATTCTGGGCGTCACGACAAGCCAAATATCACGTCTTCCTATCATTCTTCTTCTCAATCCTTCGGGACAAAGGTTACGAGAGCGTAAAGGCGTTGGGCGACTTCGTGCCAAGATCGGGGGCGAGGCGTTGTTGCAGGTGGAAACAGGTTTTAATCCCCGTCCACGACCACTTGCACTGGGACCCTCAT